GAGTAGCAGCTGAACATTCAGGAGATCACCATATTCAAATCTTTTGGGAGAAGAGTATGGTGATAGGTTATAATACTAACACATTTTGCTTTTTTGCAGGTACTTATTATATATCTATGCTCTACTCTTTAGAGGACTCCCAATTGGTGGTATTAGTGCAATGCACTCAGTCCAATGGGAGGAATTTAAAGGTAGGCAAAAGCATAGATTCAAGAGAGAAATGTACACATAAATGCCCAGCCTTGGGCACAGATCAACAATGGAAAACACTCACAGAAAATATCTTGCACATCTGGTGCTTTAGTGGAAATAATAGCTATAGAGTGTTCATATTCTAGATTGTTAGGAATCTATCAATTCAGACAAGAAACCAGGCAAAGGCTGCAAGAATTCATGTTACTGCAGATCATCATGTTCACATCCTTAGGGAGGAGGATATGATGATCAGGGATTTTTCTAACATAGTGCTCTTTTTTGCAGGAACAGGTATTATAGCCATGCCCCACTCTTTACTACAAATCCTATGGGTGGTATTAGCATATGCTCATTCCCAGGGAGGAGTACAAAAGATGGGACCAAGCATGGTGGCAAGGATCAGATGGCAAATAGGTTCTGCTATATGGAATTTAAGAAATCAGGCAATGAGATGTGCATCAATTTGGTATGCTGCAAAAAACCAGATCCAAATCATATGGGAGGAGGAAATGATGGTTTTGGAATTTTATAACTCAGTGAATACCTTTGGTACAGCTGAAACCAATGCATATATACCTTCATACTTGCTGCAACTTTCAAGGGTGGTATTAGCTATTGTAGCTCATTCCCTTAAAGGAGTAACAAGTGAAGGTATATCCATAGATGCACCTGTCAAATATGCAGAGGAAACATCAATATATGCTGGAGATCAAGAAGAAAACTTGTAGGTACTAAGTCACATTGAGATGAGCATGCTTAGGAAATATGCAGAAACAAATGCTATAATTGTGTCTTACATTTTCATACAACCTCAATGGGTGGTATTAGCACATTGTGCTCATTCCCTTGGGGAAAAATCAAATGCAAGCATAAGCAGGCATGCATGGGAAAACAGATATGAAAAATGGCAAAATTCACAGGCAGAACAATCAGCAGAAGCTAGTACTGCAACTGTTTACTTATTGATACAACTTCAAAGGGTGGTATTAGCACCTAGTGCTCATTCCCTTGGAGAAGTATTAATGGGAAGCAAAAGTAGGACAACTGGAGGCAACAACTACAAGACATGGAATGGATCACAGAAGCAAATAAGCTTAAGCTGGATTCTGATATCAACAATTAGCAGATGGAAGGTACAGGAGCGACATGGACAAAGTAATAGGAGACAAGGAACTGGACAAATTGTGGACAACAAGCACAAATGACAGGAAGTTTAGATACATTGAAGGCAAGCTGGAGTTGGAGTAAATGGCAACTTGATAACAGGACATATATAGAAGGGTGTCAACAAGGAAAGCAGCAAATTAGAAGATCAACATTGAACTTCATGGAATGCAGTACACAATGGGAGAACATACAGATGATATGGGCAAGTAAATTGGTGCTACAGCAGCAAGAAGAGGACCAGCAAGGCAGCAAATTCACAATGGCTATGATCATGCAATTCAAAAGTGGCTATGGATGCATTCACCATGGAAAATGTTTTAGATGGATTCATTGGCTAGTGTTTAGCATATATATTAATGGTAGAATTCAATATGCTTCTAGGATAGATTTAGTTAGCAAAGTTTGTTATTTTTTACATTTTGTAAGACCTCCAAACATGATTGTTTTTTATTTTTAGATATTTATAAAATAGCCCTAGGCAATGCCTAGTGGATTTTGCTAAAAAAAAAACCCTATGTTTATTTGCTTAAAAAAAACCCTATGTTTAGAAAACACAAACCCTAAATCCAATCCGCCCGAGCCTAGAGAGAGAAGCTCTGGCGAAAACTAGGGCGATTAGAGAGAGAAAGCTCGCGCCTCGCTTCCATGGCCACGCCGGCCACTGCCCAGCCTTCGCCGGAGGTTGGGCAGTCGTCTACAATCCCTACTACAACCCTACAACCATCTACTAATCCATAAATAATCCAAACCTACGCGAATCTTCTAAAACCACAAGCATTAAATACTCCCATGCACGTACAAAGTGTAAACTTGAAGCCTGTCGAGATTTTACATGGAGAACCAATGGTTCGATGGAAGAAATCTGAAGTTAAACAATCTATAATACAACAAGGTTTGCATCTAGCAGTTCTGGGCAAATTTTCGTATGGATAGCCTATGATCCAAGAATTGAGGAAGGCCATTCCAATCCAATGTGAGCTTAAGGGTGCTTGTTCAGTTGGTTTGATTGATGATTCTCATGTCTTGATCAAGTTATCGTTAATAGAAGATTATATACACTTATTGTCGAAGCCTGCTTTTTATTTGAAAGCTCAAGGTGATTACTGGCAGATGAGATGTACGAAGTGGAGTCCATGGTGGTCTCAGGAGGTTGAGACACCAATTGCAATTGCTTGGATCTCTTTCCAAGATCTTCCTCCTAATTTCTTTGGTAAAGAGTTTGTATTTTCATTGGCAAGTACAGTAGGTAGGCCTTTACATGTTGATCTTGCTACTCAAAATGGTACACCACCTAGTTGTGCTAATGTGAAGGTGGAGGTGAACTTGCTTGCAACACTGCCACAAAGAATTAAAATTATTGAAGAAGCTGATGATACAGGTCCTGAGGAATCGAAGTGGATTAAAATTAGGTATGACTATATGCCTAAGTACTGCAAGACTTGTAAGAAGCAAGGTCATAATGAACAAGAATGCTGGGTAATTCACCCAGAATTACATAAGAATTTTAGTGGAGAAGGCAAGGATCAAGTGAAGGAGCAAGCAGTAGTAGTGAGTAGTGATGTTGTTGGCACTGCTGCAACCTCTACTAAGGTGTTATCAAGTGGAAAAGTGCTAGGGAAACCTGTCACTAATCATGCTAAATAGGAGTGGATGCAAGCTAGGAAGAACAAGTATCAAAGAGATAAAAGAGGCTATATAATTGAGGAGATCAAGGAGAAGGATAACAACAAGGGCAAAGGGAAGATGAATGAATATACAGTGGTTTCAAACAATAAATTTAGAGCTTTACAGGTAGAAGAAGAAGCTGAACCAATCATGCAAATCAAGGATGGTGATGTACATGATCAAAATTCTAAGGAAAATATCAAGGAGAAGGTGCAGGAAAATAATAGTAATACTAGAGGGACCTCTCCTAATCCTACTGATAATGGGATTGGGAAAGGTATGATGTACAAGGAAGGTGGAAAAGTGTCGCTAAACAAGGAAGATTTTGATGCTAGAAAATTAAAGAAGGAAGCTGTGGAGATGGTAAATAAGGTAAGGGAATCAGGTAATATTTCGAGTGCTACAAGGAATGATGCTGAAGCTAAAAAAGAACAAACGATTGACTGGGTACATAGGAGGTTTGGGACAAGTAAAGAGGAGCTAAGACAGTGCAATGTGACCACAAATCACTCTTGCAAGAAATCCCATCTCAAACCTATGGGGATTCTGAACAGAAAGAAGATACTAATGAAGTCAATTCAGTTAGGATCGTATGGAGTGATGAGATTGAGGTAATGGAGAATCAGAAGTCAAAGGAACATGGGATAGAAAGCAATGCAAAGGAGAACAATGATGGCCAAATTTCTGGAGTTATGGAAGATGCTACAGTAAACCCTAGCGATTGTCAAATTAGGTTTGAGGATAAGTCAAGTTATATGGAGAAGCAAGTTGAAATTCAGGCTGGAAAAGATCAAGGAGTAACTAAGGGAGTTGGAAAGCAAGGTACATCAGCTCAACAAGTGGTGAATGAAGAGAAAGCCAATGGAACAGTAAACCCTAGCAAAACTGGGGAGATTTTGGCTTTTGTTGATGGGGTTCCTATTTACTCAGTGGAGAAGGAGCCTGCAGGTGATGTTTCTAATGAGGTTTTGAAGGATACAGGGTGCCTAGAGGATGAATCAGTGCATGGGAAAGGTGTTGATCATAATGCAATAGTTAAACCTGGAGGTAGTGCTACAGTTAATCCTAATCTAGGATCTGTGTATGAGCTTCAATTCAAGATGATGAAGGAGAAATTAGGGGATATGGAGAAGATATCAAATGCACAGCAAGTAGCTTTGACACCTTATGAATCTGCTGAGCAAGCAATTGTTGCTAGGGATCAAGGGGAATTGGATTCACTACCTGTGGCATGTGCATCAGGTACAGGATCACCAATGCAGATACAAGTTAATATGCCATTAAGGACTCCAAATCAGGTGCTTCATGATATAATTACTCACAAAGAGTTTCCAGTTGATACTCAGCAAACATTGATAGATCAGCAGCTACAACTTGAAGGGGAAGAAGATGATGAATCCACAGCTGAAAACTTCAAAGCTATTGCAAGGGAAGGGGATCTGTCTCCTAAATCAGCAGCTAGAAATGGGAAGAAAGGTAAGAAAAATCAACCTAAAGAACTGCAGGCACCTACTAGAATATTGCCCAAGAGGGCAGCTTCTAATGTATCAAGATGATGATCAAGACTCTCGTATGGAATATAAGGTCTGTAAAGACACAGCAGGCCATTTCAAAGATTATTAATATGCAGAAGGAGCATGGTTTCTTTATTGTTGCACTTATGGAACCAAAGCAAAAATAGAAGTTTCTTCAAAAGTATAGAAGAAGGCTAGGTATGGAAGCTGCAATATCAAATGTGAATGGGAAGATTTGGTTGTTCTTTGATGCTGTAGTAGAATTGGATTTATTGATAGACACTGATCAACAAATGACCATCAAGAATATATCATCAAGATCTTGGTAAGCACATTATGATGACATTTGTTTATGCTAAATGTTGTGCCTTGGAGAGACTAGAGTTATGGGACAATTTGTACTATTTAGCTAGGGACATGGAATTGCCTTGGTTAGTGGGAGGTAATTTTAATGTAGTCATGGGAGAGGAAGAGAAGATTGGTGGCCTTCCAGTTTATCCTCCTGAATATGAAGATTTTGCCTTTTGTGTGAACTCCTGTGGCTTGTTTGATATTGGTTACAAAGGCAGTCCATTTACATTGTGGAATGGGAGGCCAAATGAAGATTGTATATTTAAAAGACTTGATAGGATTCTAGTGAACATGCCTTTTCAAAATCTATTTCCTAATATTGAGGTGGAGCATTTGATAAGGACTGGATCAGATCATGCCCCATTATTGATGAGTTGTGGAGAGGAAGCAATGAAGTTTGTGAAGCCATTTAAGTTTTTGAACTTTTGGACAAAACATGAAGACTTTCTAGAGGTGGTGAAGCAAAACTAGATTGCAGATTTTATGGGAGATCCTTTTTTGATGTTTAAGCAGAAACTGAAGAGGGTTAAGATTGCCCTATCTAAATGGAGCAAATTAACCTATAGGGATATATTTAAGCAGCTGGCTATCAGAGAAGATGTGGTGAGAATTAAGGAGATGTTGTTTGAACAAGATCCATCTACTGAGAACAGAGTTGTACTTCAACAAGCCCAGGCTGAGTTGAAGAAATATCTGAGCATAGAAGAGCAACATTGGAAACAAAAGGCAGGCATGACTTGGTTTGAAGAAGGTGATAGAAATACAAGATTTTTCCATAATCATGTAAATGGAAAAAGACAGAAGTTGCAACTGAAAAGGATTCAAAATAGTGATGGAGACTGGATTGAATCTCAGGAGTTAATGTCCAATGCTGCAGTTGATTTCTTTCAGAAGCAGTTCACAAAGGAGGATGACCCTATAAGCTTTGATATGTTGAACAATGTGCCACAGATGATTTCAAGGGAACAAAATATAGAGCTGTGTAGATTGCCAACAAGGGAGGAGGTGAAAGCAGGAGTGTTTGCATTGAGTAGTGAAAGTGCAAGTGGTCCAGATGGCTTCTCAGGTCTATTTTTTCAGACATGTTGGGACATAGTAGGGGAAGATATATATGAGTTGCTGAATTTGTTCTTTGATGGTGCTCCTTTGCCTAAATCAATAACCTATACTAATCTAGTTTTGTTGCCAAAGAAGCCTAGAGTGCAAACATTCTCGAATCTTAGACCTATCAGTCTAAGTAACTTCATTAATAAAGTGTTCTCAAGGGTGGTGCATGATAGATTGGAGAAGATATTACCCGATTTGATATCTTCAAATCAATCAGGTTTTGTCAAGGGGAGAAGTATATTTGAGAACATCTTGCTAACTCAAGAGATTGTGACAGATATAAGATTGAGAGGGAAACCTGCTAATGTAGTTATAAAATTAGATATGGCTAAGGCATATGATAGAGTATCATGGAAATATCTGATGCATGTGTTAAGGAGAATGGGATTTGCAGAAGGCTTCATTAATATGGTGTGGAATCTTATATCAAACAACTGGTACTCAGTATTGGTAAATGGTCAGTCTGCAGGTTTCTTTCATTCCTCAAGGGGTGTGAAGCAAGGGGACCCTTTGTCTCCAGCATTATTCATATTGTCAGCAGAGGTTTTATCAAGATCTTTGAACAAGTTGTTTGAAGATAAACAGTTTAAGGGTTATGGGATGCCAAAGTGTTCTACTCCTCTGAACCATCTTGCATATGCTGATGACACAATTATCTTTGCATCTGCTGATCCATATTCTGCAGAAGATTGTAGATGTGTTGACAAAATATGAGCATACCTCAGGACAGATGATTAACAAGTCAAAAAGCTCATTCTATATGCATGCCAAAGTAGCAGAAAATATGTCTAATGCAGTGGCTAATATCACAGGTTTCTCAAAAGGAACTTTCCCATTCACATATCTTGGGTGTCCAATATTTTACACAAGGAGAAGAAAGAAGTATTATAATGATCTGATCCAAAAAGTCAAAGCAAAGTTACACTCTTGGAAAGGGAAGCTCTTATCATATGGAGGAAAGGCAACATTGATAACCAGTGTCTTAGAAAGTATGCCTACTCATATACTGTCAGTGTTGGATCCACCTGATAATGTATTACAGCATCTTCATAACACCTTTGCAAGGTTTTTCTGGAGTAATAAGGATGAAGGGAGGAGTAGGCATTGGACAAAGTGGCAGAACTTATGTCTTCCTAAGGAAGAGGGAGGTGTAGGTTTTAGATCTTTGATAGATGTTTCTAAAGCTTTGTTTGCGAAGCTGTGGTGGAGGTTCAGAACTACCAAGACTCTATGGGCTAACTTTATGTGGAACAAATACTGTAAGAAGGAATTGCCAACAGTGGTTCAATTTAGAGAAGGTTCACATGTATGGAGGAAAATGTTAGAAGCAAGAGAGGATATTGAGCATGAGATACTGTGGGAGATGCATCGAGGATCAACTAATGTATGGCATGAAAACTTGACAGGCTTGGGAGCTCTATACCATGTTATTCATCCAGACTTTCACATTAATGAAGAACTGCAAGAAGTAGCTGAACTGAGAGAGGAGGAGCATTGGAATGATCAGCTTCTGGATCACACCACCAGATGTTGCTAATCATATTAGACAGGAAATCCACTATGCTGAAGATAAGGAATGCTGGGACAAGCCAATCTGGATGCCCACTCCTTCAGGAAGATTTACTGTGAGCAGTGCTTGGAGACACTTGAGACATAGAGAACAAGTCAATCCTGAGTTTCTTAAGATATGGACTGAAAGTTTACCTTTCAAAATCTCCTTCTTCTTGTGGAGAGTTTGGAAGGGAAAGGTTCCAACTGATGACATATGGAGAAGAGGGGGACAGATGGTAGTGTCAAGATGTTGGTGTTGTAGCTCACCAAAGGAAGACTCTTTCCAGCATTTATTTCTAACAAGTGATACTGCAATGAAGGTGTGGAAAACATTCATAGAAGCTGCAGGACTGGGAATAAATTTGATTCAAATGCATCAGGTTGTAAGAGAATGGTGGAATGCTAAATGTTGTCCTAAACTTAAGCCATTGTATCAGGCTGCTCCAGCTGTGATATTATGGGAACTCTGAAAGAGGAGAAATACAATGAAACATGGTGGAGCTGTATCCTGCAGTAGGGTGATTCATGAAGTGAACAAAACCTTATATTATCTAGCCAAAACTAGATACCCTTGGCTGGCTAATATCCCTCAGTTATGGCCTCATATGATCAGATTTCTTGAGAATTACAAGCCAGTTGTAGTCACCAAGAGGGTAACATGACAGCTTCCATATGTAGGATGGTACAAGTGTAATACTGATGGAGCTTCTAAGGGCAATCCTGGTCCTAGTTCCTATGGATTCTGTGTAAGGGATCATGAAGGAGATCTAGTGTATGCTAAGGCAAAGGATATAGGGATGGCAACAAACTTAGTAGCAGAAGCAAAGGCAATTATAGAAGGCCTGTCATCTTGTGTGGAAAGGCAATTGCACCCTTTGATAATGGAGACAGATCTTTGGTGATGAAGAATATCATTGATGAGGAGTGGGAGATTCCATGGTGTATAGGGGTTGAAGTGAAGAAGATTAAGGAGATAAAGAGTACATTCAATGTACTCTTTCAGCATGTCCTTAGAGAGGGCAACTCAGTTGCAGATTTTTTAGCTAACCATATTTTTTCTTTTGCAGGTACAATCACTTTTCACTCGTCTCATGAGCTTCCACCTAGAGGAAAAGCTTTGATCAATCTTGACAAGGCACAGATGCCAAATCTTAGGATTAGAATTGCTAAAAGGAGAGCTCCAGACTAATGTATCAGCTGCTATATGCAATGCCAAACCTGTATCTAGCTAGATTCTGGAAAGGATTGGATGACTACTCAGTGGTATCAGCATGGTCTCATGCTCAATCTGAGGGTCATTTGATTCGTTACAGAATGATGTTATGCACAGGGAAGGCAGAAACATCTACAGGCAATCAAGGAATATATGCACCTGAGAGACATAAAATTGATAGGATGAGTAATCATGCTTCTGTGGTTACTTACACATTACAGTCTAAAAGCATTCATGTTCTATGCATTTTGTACAGCATGATTTGGAATTCATCATCTGAGGTAAGAAGTGGCTCAATGTATGTGATTTGTATAGAGGTTCAAAGCTGCAAGTATATGAGAATAGGCTACTGTTGGTTTATGCTTGTTTTCAGCATGGTATTCATTTGGATGTCTGATTTACTACAATTGTTATTGTGCTTTCATTATTCAGTGGTATTAGTGTGTTTACACACTCAGTCTGAAGATGAGAGTGCAATATCCAACTTAACGTTCAGATCTATATTTGATCAGTATTCATGCTTGGAAGGTATTGTTTGCTCCATTACTCTGATTTTGATGGTTGAAGTCTCATTTGCTCATCACTTACATACCTTGGCGCCTGGTGAGAGCTTGATAGGTGCTGCTTGGTATTAGACATGGGCATTAGGACTTACTCATAGCCACAGGAGGAGGAAGCATTCAGATTATCATGATGTAATAGCTAGCTATGTTAGGTGTTTTTATTTTCTAGTATTCATTAGCTATAGACTTGTTTTATTATGTTTTGGACATCTTGTATGATTTGGACCCTATGTTGGGCTGCTTTATATATATTAGCCACTAGGCATCATGCCTAGGGGTATATTTGCTTAAAAAAAAACCTATGTTTAAAACGCATTGGAGTCTAGAGAGAGAGGCTCTAGCGATTTTTTAAGCGACTAGAGAGAGAAAGTCGCATTTTTTGCTGCCATGGCCACGCCGGTCGGCGGCCAGCCATCTCCTCCGGCTGGTCAGCCTCCTCTCACCCCCGTCCAACCCCCTACAACAACAAACAACAACCCCCAGCCTTCAAATCCTACCAACGATGACCCTCAAACAATGAACTACGTGAAAGCTGTTAAACCTACGTCGAGTAACAATGCCATGCAGAATAGAGTAACAACTGTCGAACCAATTGCACCTAGACGGGCTAAATTCGTTCAAGGACAACCTCTAGTATGCTTTACTGAATCAGAAGTGGAGCGCATGAATATTATGGAAGGATTGCAGCATGCAGTGGTGTGCAAATTTTCATATGGATGGCCTGAACTTAATGAATTACGTCGTATCATTCATATGCAATGTGGAATCAAGCGTGAATGCAATATTGGATATTTGAGAGATAGACATATATTGGTAAGGTTTACATTATGGCAAGACTACGTTAATTTTTCTTCAAAAGGAGTTCATTATGTTAAGGATAAATATGGGGAAGAGTATCAGATGCGTACTTTGATTTATGATTCTAAGTTCAAAGTTGGAGAGGAGACACCAAAGGTAATGGCTTGGACTTCATTCCCTAACTTGCTGCCCACATACTTTGTTAAGGAGTGTCTTTTTTCATTAGCTTCAGCTGTGGG